TCTGTGAATGGTTAGGCGTGTTCCAGAAAATCTGTGTTTTCTGGAAAATGTCTGGTTTTTGTTCAACTTCCTTCCAGTCAGAAAAACCCCTTCCCAAAAGTCCAAGAGAGGAGCAACAGAAATCTTCAACCACATCACTCAGGCAAAAACTGTTTCAGGCAGCAGGGACAGGGCCTGTGCATAAAGCAGCAGCCCAGGGCCAAAACACCAATGGAGCATCAGAGGGTCAGGGAGTGTTGAAGCAAGTGGGCGTCCTGCCTGAAGCACCTATGCTGTCTGCCCCTTCCAAGCTAGAGCTGGAATGCTGCCATATTTAAGTGCTGGTAGATGCCAGCCTTCCCTCTAGTGGGCCTGGGCAGCTGCTGGAGAGAGATAGGACCATTTCAGCTCCTAGCACCCAGATACCCTCACTTCAGGGGTGAAATGCTCCCAGTTCGGACCGGATACCCAATCTGGTAGTGATGATGGCGGGTGGTTCGGAGAACTGGTAGCAAAAATCCCTGTGCCCCCCTCCATGACCAGCTGAGCCACGCGATTATCAGAGGCTGTTTTTTTTACTTTTAAAAGCATTTTTTCTACAACCTCTTGGGCCGAAAAAATGCTTTTAAAAGTTTTTTAAAAAGCGTCTGATGGTTGCGCTGGGATCGCCAGAGGCTTCCAAAAGCATTTTTTTTCTGCAACCTCTTTGGCCAACCCTGGTTGAATTGATTGTTAAATTATTTGAATCCCACCACTGCTTAGAACCCATAATGTTTTTGACTGCAATGCTTTTGAGTGTGATCCTGAAGAGTATGAAGCTAAATTGGGCAAGTAGTTCTTGTGAATCTAATAGAAATAATGCTAATCGCATTACACATGCTGGGTTTGTGTAGGAAGGACAGGCATAGGCAAAATCCAGATCTCAACTTGCTTAGTTCTTCAGTAAGAGTTGGAAAAAAATGCTCAGGAAAGGATTTTGGCAGGAAAATAGTTTGAAAACTAAGGAAGAAAGTACCTTGAGATTAGCAATACCTTACCTTTTGGCTTTATAGAAATTATTTCCATTTCAGGTAGATATAACAACTATCTCAAATGCCAAACATATTTATAACTTATTATTGTAACATCAGCTGTGTTGTTATTAAATTGCATTTTCAAAGAGCTACAGAGAAATCAATTTATGAAAATTGATCTCTCTTACATAACTTCCCTGAACACTGGGAAGTTATGTAATTCTGAAAAATATATATATAGATAGCTAGAATTTCTCAAAGTTACTGTTTTCAAGATGAGTTGGATTGGAATTCTGTATAGGCAAACAACAACAACAACAACACTGGTTAAAATAATGTGAATGGAAAATTAGAGAGTGTTCGTTGAATATTTTTATAATGTCACTTAACACCTAGAAGATTGAATATGGTAAGAACGTAATCCAACAAAAGATATTTTAACATAAATGGAACATATTTATATAAATATATATAAATGGTGATTTTGCATAAAAATACACAAATTGTTGTAAAAATAACATTTCAATTGAAATAATGAAAATATTTAATCAAGGTATTGTGCTCTTATTTAAGCAATAACAAAAATTTGTGGAAGTAAATAAAGTTACAATAACTTTATTGGTGACTATTAGAAGAACTATAACTCATACATGGAAGAGAATAGTATTTCAATGTCAGTTTTGAGTCAATCATGTTGAGAGGTAGCCCAAGTAATCTAAAAAAAAAAAAAGAACTTGGTATAGATCAAAATCCAACAGGTTCCTAACAAACCTAGCAGACAACTTTGGTTCCCAAGAAGTAGAAAAGGGAACAAGGGGATCAGCCATATTGGACTTAATTCTCACTAGCAGAGATGAAATGATAGAAGGTGTTGAAGCTACAGGAACCTTGGGGGCAAGTGATCACGCAATATTGGAATTCAACATTATGTAAACACAAGTAGTAGAACAAAGTCAAACTAGAGTCTTGGACTTTAAGAGAGCTAATTTCAATAAACTTAGAGAGAGCTTGAGAAGGATTCCATGGATGAGAATCCTCAAGAGGAAAACAACTCAAGAAGCTTGGGAAATTTTGAAAAGTGAGATTATAAAAGCCCAGTCTAGCACAATACTAACGAATAGAAAAATAATAGATCTCAAAAGAAACCAGCATGGCTGCATAAAGAATTCTCTAACAAATTGAAAGACAAAAAGGACAAGTATAAAAAGTGGAAAGAGGGGCAAATAACTAAGGCAGAATATCAGCAAATAGCCCGAACCTATAAAGATGAAGTGAGGAAAGCTAAGGCTCACATTGAACAAAGACTTGCGACTAAAGTAAAAAATAACAAAAAAAGACCTTCTTCCAACATATTAAAAACAAGAAAAAAGTCAAGGAAACAATTGACCCATTGCTGGGAGAAAGTGGCAAGAAGGTGACAAACAATAGGGAGAAAGCAGAGCTACTTAACTCATTTTTTGTATCTGTCTTTATACAAAAGGAAAAGAACAGTCCAACCTATCAAAATCAGCACCACAAAAAACAGATTAGGAACACAAGTTAAAATAAGGAAGAAAATGGTAAGTGAACACCTGTCTACCCTAGACGAGTTCAAATCACCAGGACCAGATGTATTACACTCTAAGGTTCTGAAGGAACTGGCAGACGAGATCTCAGAACCACTGAACTATATCTTTCAAAGATTCTGGAACACAGGGGAACTGCCAGAGGATTGGAAAAGAGCTGATGTAGTTCCCATCTTCAAAAAAGGAAAAAAAATAGATCCAGGAAACTACAGCCCTATCAGCCTACCAGGGAAGATTCTGGAAAAGATAATCAAACAATGAATCATCGAACACCTAGAAGCAAACGAAGTAATAACCAAAAGTGAACATGGGTTTGTCAAAAACAGATCATGCCAGACTAATCTTATTGCATTCTTTGACAAAGTGACAAAATTAGTGTTGCTTAACGCATTGTAAGCCGCCCTGAGTCTCCGGAGAAGGGCGGCATATAAATCAAATTAAAAAAAAACAAAAAACCAGAGGAATGCTGTCGATATAATTTACTTGGACTTTCATTTGATAAAATAGGCCATAACCTACTACTAGATAGAGTAGAAAAATGTGGGTTAGACAGCATCACCACCAGATGGATTCGTAACTGACTGACCAACCGAACTCAACGTGTAGTCCTCAATGGAACTGCATCTACATGGAGGGAAGTATGCAGTGGAGTACCCCAGGCCTCTGTTTTAGGCCCAGTGCTCTTCAACATCTTCATCAATGACTTGGATAAGGGGATAGATGGGAAATTCATCAAATTTGCAGATGACACCAAGCTGGCAGGAATAGCCAACACTCGAGAAGATAGGCTCAAGATACAGAAGGATCTTGACAGACTTGAACATTAGGCACTAACAAAATTAAATTCAACAGTGAAAAAAGCAAGGTTCTACATTTAGGGAAGAAAAACAAAATGCACAGGTACCATATATGTGGTACCTTGCTCAATAGTAGTAACTGTGAGAGGGATCTTGGAGTCCTAGTGGACAACCATTTAGATATGAGCCAGCAGTGTGCACAGCTGCCAAAAAAGCCAACACAGTTCTGGGCTGCATAAACAGAGGGATAGAATCAAGATCATGTGAAGTGTTAATACCACTTTATAATGCCTTGGTAAGGCCACACTTGGAATATTGCATTCAGTTTTGGTTGCCACAATTTTAAAAAGATGTTGAGACTCTAGAAAGAATGCAGAGAAGAACAACAAAGATGATTAGGGGACTGGAGGCTAAAACATATGAAGAATGGTTGCAGGAACTGGGTATGTCTAGTTTAATGAAGACAAGAACTAGGGAAGACATGATAGCAGTGTTCCAATATCTCAGGGGTTGCCACAAAGAAGAGGGAGTTCAAGCTATTCTCCAAAGCACCTGAGGGTAGAACAAGAAACAATGGGTGGAAACTAATCAAGGAGAGAAGCAACTTAGAACTAAGGAGAAATTTCCTCACAGTTAGAACAATTAATAAGTGGAACAACTTGCCTGCAGAAGTTGTGAATGCTCCAACACTGGAAATTTTTAAGAAGATGTTGGATGTAGGTGATCCGAAATGTCTGAAGTGATGTAGGGTTTCCTGCCTGGGCAGGGGGTTGGACTAGAAGACCTCCAAGGTCCCTTCCAACTCTGTTATTCTATTCTATTCTAAAATAATTTTCTACCAGTCTGGGAATTTATGGTAGTTTATGGCATCAGTTTATAAACTATAAAATGGTGAGTTTATTTATTTTTATTGATTTATAAAATGTTTTAGCAACCCATCTTATGTTAGAGTAACTATAGGCAGCTTACAGTTGCAGGAGTTCTACTCCTGCCTTAGGTACAAAAACAACTATGGAACTTTGGGCCAGTCACTCTGAGTCATAATTTCAGTAGTCTATGGTCATGGTTTTAAATAAAAAAGTAGCTCTATTTCTTTTAATATAGAAAACATATTTAGAGAATCTGTTCTAAAATAAGAAAACGATTACTATATATACCTTCATTTAATGCTTCTTTTTCAAAAAAGACAAGCAATATTTGTACACATGTATGTTTCAAATCATCCTTTCCCCTTCAAATGTTAATTGCAACATAGCCATAACCATTTCTTTGTCTTAAAAGAATTCCATAATTCCAAAAATTTATGCCAACCAAGGAATTTTCATGCTTTTACATTATAGGCTATGGAAAATATGTTTATAGTATGTTCTTTCTATTTCAGATACAATTTAGTCATTTAAGCAACCTGAATCAAATCAATTTATCCACAAAATGAAAATTATAAACTTAACAAGAATCATGTTTCTTTTTTAATTTCTCATATTTCATTTAAAATTAAATGGGGGCTAATATGACCGGATTTTGCTCCCATAATGAAAACTCACCTAATAATTTCTACCTCTCCAAAATTAGTGGAAAATTATTACAGCTTTAAACAAAGGCTGTCAAAGACAGAAATAATTAAATAAGAGTTTGGTTGTATATTATTAACTTTTTCTTTTAATTAGTTGTTCTCTATTGTTAAGATGTGGCAAAACGATGATAATATAACATTTGGGGAAATATATGCAGACAAGCAACCCTGCACTGGAGGCCAAAATGGAGAAAACCTCCACAGCCACCATGTATTTGCCTTTGGTGCTCAGGTAAGATGGAACAAAAGAGATCCAAACACTGCAGAAGATCAGCATGCTGAATGTGAGGCATTTGGCTTCATTGAAACTGCTGGGGAGATTCCTGGAGAAAAATGCTACTGTGAAACTGGCAGTTGCCAGAAAGCCCATGTAGACCAGGACACAGTAGAACATGGTAGATGAGCCTTCATTGCATTGCAATATGATTTCTTCCCTTTCTGAATGTGTGTCAATGTCAGGAAAAGGAGGAAATGTGATGAGCCACACTGTACAGATGCCAGCTTGAATCAGGGAACAAGTAAGAACAATGGAGATGGCCAGACCTCTTCCCACCCAGTTCCTCATCCTGGATCCTGGCTTGGTGGCCATGAAAGCCAGAACCACAGTGATGGTTTTTGCCAGCACAGAAGACACGGCCACTGAGAAGATGATGCCAAAGCTAATTTGTCGGAGGAGACATATTATATTGCCTGGTGCAATGAGGAACTGCAGTGAGCAAAGGAAACAGAGGAGAAGGGAGATAAGTAGAACATAGGTGAGATTTCGGTTATTGGCCTTGACGATGGGAGTTTGGTGATGTTTCAAAAATGTTGCCAGAACCAGAATTGTGCAGGCAGAAAAGAAAAGTGCCAGAATCAGTAGACATATTCCCATTGGTTCCTCATAGGATAAGAATGAAATTCTCTTGGTAAGACATGAATCGTGGTTCTTATTTGGATATTGACCATCTGGACATTTGGAACAGTCATCCATGTCTGGAATTTAAATATTTAAATATTTTTTTAAAAAAAACTTGCAGCTGTTCGATCAATTTATAGCCTTTTTAAAATATCTTTTCCTCCTTGACTATCCTAATTATCCTGATTATTTGATTTCATCTCTTCCACCTGGATGCTCCACTTTTGCTTTTTTCGACCTTATCTTCGGATTTTTGCTGTTATCAGAAAGGGAGGAAACATAGACATCGAGAGTCTTGAACAATTTATTTGTAATACTTATACAAGTGGATGGGACGGACCATCTTCTCCTTTGTTTCTGTAACTCTGGACTGGTCGCCGTGAGAGGGCGGTCATTGTGACTCTCATCCCCCTTTTTTATGACTAACTTATTTTAATCACAAGACTTTCCCATCACTGTAAGAGGGAGATGGTATTCCGATGTTCTATTATATTAACTTCCTTGTACAGTTATCTACTTTACCCTTTTTGTCTTAACCATCTGTTTTAAACCATCTTTAACACCTTAAGAAGAAAATGGCCTTTCATCGCCTCCAATTCTATTTCATCTCTGATGTATTCAATAACAGAACTCCTAGCACTGCGAGATTCCCCCCTCTCGCAAGTTTGGCCCTCCCAGTTATCTAGGGCCGCCCTCAAGGACGGGTTTTGGAATCCCGAGAGGTGGTATGCTAAGAACCGGAAGCTTTGGGGTTTTTTAGATAGTTTTTCAAATTCTATTTTAAGGGGATCTGGGAGGAGGGTGGTTTCCAATGTAAATAATGAGGCTGGGGGGCCTCCCAGGAGGGGGGTGGGTTGTATGGGTTCAGGGATTAACCCGCGAGGGATGGGGTCTAGTCCATCTGAAGAGCACGGCGGAGGAGATGCAGAATCTGGGGCCAAGGAGAGGGTTAGAGCTTGTGCTGTTGATAGACATTACATCAGTACTGTAGGTGGGAGGGGCAGATATGGCGGGAGTAGGGGGCCACATCAAGTTGCGGGAGTGCGCGCTCGCTGTCTTCAAGCGGTGGCACGCTCCGGCCCCCAATGCTCTTCTCGTTCCCCAGGTGGCACAGACCCTCAGGCCCTGGGCCTTCGGCTGATGCTATGCAATGCCAGGTCTGTGGTAAATAAAGCCCCCCTCATTTGTGATCTTGTTCAGGAGGGGGGAGCGGACCTGGTGGGTATTACGGAGACCTGGTTGGGCCAGGAGGGGGGAGTCCCTCTCATAGAGATGTGCCCATCCAGTTTCCGGGCATTTCATCAGCCAAGGTCACAGGGAAGGGGCGGGGGGGTGGCAGTTATCATTAAAGAGGGTCTTAGTCTGAGGGAGGCCACTGTTCCGCAGACGGCCGGATGTGAGTCCCTCCTTGTGAAGTGGGGCCATGGGGTGCAGATGGGCCTGCTGGTTACGTACCTGGCTCCCTGCCACGTGGCAGCGGCCTTGCCTGAACTACTCAACGTTATAGCCGCGGTGGCGATTGATACCCCTAGGCTTATGGTCATGGGGGACTTCAACCTGCCATCCGTCGGTGAGGCGTCTGAGGTGGCTCAGGAGTTCATGGCTTCCATGACGGCCATGGACCTGACCCAATTAGTTCATGGCCCTACTCACATGGGGGGAAACACGCTGGACCTGGTTTTTGTCTCTGGTCAGTGGCTGAGTGGTCTCGAGATAGGGGATATAGCGATCGAGCCCTTGTCATGGTCAGATCACTCCCTCCTTCGCTTTGACCTTCGAACCGCCACACCCCGCTGCAGGGAGGCGGAACCGATGAGGTGGTTCCGCCCCAGGCGCCTGATGGACCCGGATAGGTTCCAGACGGAGCTTGGGCCATTTCTTAAGGCTCTGGCACACGGCTCGACTGAAGACCTAGTGGCTGTCTGGGATAGGGCGGCCGCTGGAGCTTTGGACTGGGTCGTGCCTTTGCGGCCTCTGACCCGGCGTCGATCTCACCTGGCTCCCTGGTTCACTGAGGAGCTGAGGGAGATGAAACGCCGGAAAAGACGCCTGGAGAGCAGTTGGAGGGCCAGCCGTTCTGAATCTGACCGAACACTGGTAAGGTCTCATATTAAGACCTACCTGGTGGCAATAAAAGTGGCAAAGTGTAACTATTTTTCCGCTCTTATTGCATCATCAGATAATCGCCCGGCCGCCCTGTTTAGGCTCCCTGCTCCACCAGGAAGCACGGGAGGACCCCTTGGAGGGTAGAGCCAAGGACTTTGTACAATATCTGTATGACAAAATCGCTCAGATTCGGGAAAATTTGGACTCTGACTGGGTAGATTTGGGAGGAAGGATGGAGGCAAGTCTTGAGAATATTACCTGGGAAGAGTTTGATTCTGTGACTCCGGAAAACGTGGACAAGATACTAGGCAGACTAAGCGCAGCCACATGTTTATTGGACCCGTGTCCCTCCTGGCTGGTGCTGGCCTCTTGGGAGGTTACACGAGGTTGGCTCCAGGGGATTATAAATGCTTCCTTGAGAGAGGGTGTCTTCCCTGCCGCCTTGAAGGAGGCGGTGGTGAGGCCTCTCCTCAAGAAGCCTTCCCTGGACCCAGCAGTGTTGGCTAATTACCGTCCAGTCTCCAACCTTCGCTTCATTGCGAAGGTTGTTGAGAGTGTGGTAGCGCGACAGCTTCCTCAGTACTTGGATGAATCGGCTTATCTAGATCCGTTCCAGTCGGGCTTCAGGCCTGGATACAGCACAGAAACGGCATTGGTCGCATTGGTAGATGATCTCTGGAGGGCCCGGGACAGGGGTTGCTCCTCTATCCTGGTCCTATTAGACCTCTCAGCCGCTTTTGATACCATCGACCATGGTATCATGCTGCACCGGCTGGAAGAGTTAGGGGTGGGGGGCACCGTGTTGCGGTGGTTCTCCTCCTTTCTCTCTGATCGGTCGCAGTCTGTGTTGACAGGGGGGCAGAGGTCGACCCCGAGGCCCCTTGTATGTGGGGTGCCACAGGGGTCGGTTCTCTCACCCCTTCTGTTCAACATTTATGTGAAGCCGCTGGGTGAGATCATCCGTGGTTTTGGGGTGAAGTATCATCAGTATGCTGATGATACTCAGCTATACATCTCCACCCCAGACCACCCCAATGATGCCCTTAAAGTGATGTCCCAGTGCCTGGAGGCTGTACGGATCTGGATGGGGAGGAACAGACTCAGGCTCAACCCATCCAAGACCGAGTGGCTGTGGTTTCTGACATCCCGATATAGTCAATTGGTGCCATCACTGACTATTGGGGATGAGTCATTGCCCCCCATGGAGAGGGTTCGCAACTTAGGCGTCCTCTTGGATTCACCGCTGTCTTTAGAAGAACACTTGATGGCTGTGGCCGGGAGGTCTTTTTATCAGGTTCGCCTGATTCGCCAGTTGCGTCCCTTTCTGGATCGGGACTCATTAAAAATGGTCACTCATGCCCTCGTCACTTCACGCCTGGACTACTGTAATGCTCTCTACATGGGGCTCCCCTTGAGGAGCACCCAGAGGCTCCAGCTGGTCCAGAATGCGGCCGCGCGGGTAGTTATGGGAGCAGCATGGCGCTCCCATGTGGCTCCCCTCCTGCGCGAGCTGCACTGGCTCCCTGTGGTCTTCCGGGTGCACTTCAAGGTCTTAGTTACCACCTTTAGAGCGCTCCATGGCTTAGGACCGGGGTACTTACGAGACCGCCTTCTGCCACCAATAGCCTCTCACCGCCCAGTACGCTCCCATAGAGAGGGGCTTCTCAGGGTGCCATCAGGCAAACAATGTCGACTGGCGGCCCCCAGGGGGAGAGCCTTTTCTGTGAGGGCACCCACCATCTCGAATGAGCTCCCCCCAGAGATACAGAAGATTCCGGATCTGTGCACTTTCCGCCATGCCCTCAAAACATTCCTGTTTCAGCAGGCCGGCCTGGCCTAACTTTCCTTTTATATTGCTTTTTGATTTTATTTTAAACTGGGATGTCTTGAATTATCTAGGACCAGAATGTTTAGTATATTTTAATTGGTTTTTTATTATTAACATTTGTATTAAATGTATTTTTATCGTTCGCTGTTCACCGCCCTGAGTCCCTTAGGAATAGGGCGGTATATAAATTTAATAAATAAATAAGTAAATAAATATACATGTATTATATATAAACATACATTCATTTCTGCATATATTGAAAATACTGCTTGTGTTTTGTGATTATTCTATGAATATTATTATGGCATATTAAATTGTCTTTCTTAACAGCAAAAATGGCACTGACATTAGCTGAAGACCTATCCATCTGATTTAGCAGTCTTATCTTTGGATTTTAACAAGGCAATTATCTCCATAGGATTCTACTTAATATTTCTAATGTTATTACTACCTCTTATCTATTATATGTATTAGCTATATATTTATCTGGTTACAAAATTGCATCTTGTCTTTATGGGAAGCACCTGCTACAATATCTTTTTAACAGTATTGACTCAGCTTTTCATCCTTCCAAGGTGAGTAAAATGAGGATCCTGATTGTTGGGAGCAAGAGGCTGACACTGTAAGCTGCTTAGACAGGGCTGTAAAGCACTGTAAAATGGTTTATAAGTCTATGTGCTTATTGATTATTATTGTGAATAATATAAATAAAAATAAAAATAATATCTATTCTATCACTTCATCCATACTGAATTTTCTTCATTTTGTAAATTCCTGTGGGATAAAATATGTGTTCATATCCATAAATGGAAAAGAGCTAAGGATTTGCCCCTTTTCCATATATTTTCAAAACATTCATGTGGCACAGATTTAATGAAGAATAAATAATACACAGTTACAGAAATGACAAAATATTCCCACTGTAAGGGAAATTCGGAGTTTCAATATTATTTTAATCACTCAATTAATTGTTTGCTTCTTTTTATTTGTTTTTTAAACCAGAGCCATAGTTGAATGCTTAACTCTTTGCCTTAAGTCTTCTTTCAGTTGGTAAAAGAATCCTTCCTTTTGATGACAGCATAATCTCTCAACAAACAAAATATATAACTCAGCTTTCTGTAGAGCTGTAATGCAATTTGGTTCATGATGCCTCTTACCCTTCTGGCTTGATATTTTCTCTTTGGGACATGGATGACAATCATAGCAGCAAAACGGCTTTGCCTCCTGCTTTCTTTTGAAATTACCAGGGGAGCAGCTCTCAGTACACACTGAAATAGGCCGTGTCTACCCAATAAGTAAAATAAGAAGGGAAATATTAGTGTCCACTCTGATGTTTAAAAAGAAGATTTTAAAAATCATGACTGTTTAATATTTAATTTAGTTATTTATATTTATTTTATTTATTTTATTAGTCCAATTTATATGCCGCCCTTCTCCGTAGTCTCAGGGCGGCTTACAATGCATTATAGCAATAGCCTGCATACTTTTTTTTTTTTGTATATACCTGCTTATTAGGGCTTTCGCCCACCCCCCAAGCGGTGTTGTTCTATACAAAGTTGACTTATTGTCCACAGTCCGGGTCCTCAATTTACCTACCTCAAAAGGATGGAAGGCTGAGTCAACCATATGCTATCCATCTCATTGATAAAGTGACTATGTGGCTTACAAAAAGCAAAAGACAAATATAAAATCAGTTAAAATTTTTAAAATTATATGAACATCAAAATCAAGGAAATGGAAGGCAGGAGAGAAGTTGGTCTTGCCCCCATCAACCATCTCCAGCAGTGAGCACTCTTCTTGGGGCCCCAGGACAACCAGCAGAACCAAGTTCTGATATCCATCCAGAAGGCCAAAAGAATGGGATTAGTTCCTACCTTGGGTAGTAGAACATTTCACATTGTCGTGACTCTAAATGAAAACAGCTCTTCTCCTTCACCCTACCTATCAAATTTCTTTCTAGCAGATAGTACCCACAGCAGCCCCCTTCTGCTGTAATCAGTGGAGCAGGTTAGTTCCACTGCTCCTCAGATATCTTGGAACCATGCTACTTAAGGCTTTAAAGGTAATAGCACCTTTTATTGGACCCAGAAGCAAACTGATAACCAATGCAACTTGCACAACAGTGGTATTATGTGTGCCACCCTTGGTGCCTCCAAAACTGTGTGGATCACTGCATTTTGTACCAACCTAAATTCTATATAGCTTCAAGAGCTATATAGAGCACATTGCAATAATCCATATAAGATATGAGCAGGGCATGAGTGAAAATCCACAATCCATTTAACTATATAAGGGTGCAACTGGTACACAACAAAGGCTCTACTAACGATGATTTCCACCTACTCTTTGAATATTAAGTTTGTGTACCAGGTGAAATTAAGGTTGTGCAACATCATTGATAACTAAATATGATAAACAACAGGATCTTGAGGTCTCCTCAATCCATAGCTACTTCATTTTATGAGAGTTCAGGTGAAGACCTATCCAGGCCCCTACAACCTCCAGGCCTTCCTAAAGGCCAAACCATTACATTCTTTAGATCATCAGAGATAGAAATGTAGAGCTGAGTATCATCTATGATATCTCATTCTTGGTGCCAGACGGTCCCATCCAGTGGTTTTATGAAGACATTTAAAAGTACTGGAGAGAGTACTGAGCCTTATGCCACCTCTCAAAGAAGTAGTTGTAGACTGGACCTCTCACTCCATATTTACATTGGCTACAAATAGCCTTGGAGAAAGAAGCCAAACCAGTGAAATACACTGGTACCACTGAGTGCCAAATCCTGCAGTTGGCCCAAAAGGATACCATAGCCATTATACAGAAATCCACTGAAAGGTCAAAGGGAGCAAGGATGGGTGCACTATTTTTATCCCAGTCTTAACAAATATCATCCACAAGCTTGACCAATACAGTCTCCATTGCATCAAGCCTGAAACCCTGAAAGGGGTCCAGATAATCTTTTTTATCAGGATACTTAGGAGTTCCACTTTTCTACACCATCCCTAAGAGGGAATAGTGAAAGCCTGGATGGAAATTGTGCATACAGATTGGTTCCAATGAATTTTTCTTGAGGAGGGAATGGATCAAGGTCTCCTTGAATGGTGCTGGAAAAACCTTTTCCTGTTTTGATGTATTAATCACTGCCTGGAACCAACTTCACAACACTCTCATGGAGGCTTTCACCAATTATTATAGAGGGACAAGGATCTAACGAACCAGTTGTTTTGTTGACAATCTTGAGGATACAGTCTACTTCCTCAGTCTAACAGGATCAGTGCTGAGGATCTAGTCTACTTTCTCAGGTTTAATAGGATCAAACTGCTCCCAGAAAATCAAGTAAGTCCATTCCATGGACATCTCTAATGGTCCTCCTCCATGCCTGTTCTCAAATTGAGAGTGGCTCTGAGTGACTTTGTCCATAAGATGTATTGATCCTGTATATGATAATCCAAATCCTACTTCCCCAGGAGGACCTCTTGATGAGGTGGAGATTATTCTCTGAGCTTGTGGGTTGGTTTATGAATGTTTCATTACCAGGCTAAGTAATATCTGTAGTAGAGTTTAGGGGGTTTCTGTGTTTTTCTGCTTATAAAGACTTTGTGTAGTCAGGAGGTCATGTGATGGGTCAGGTGTGGATGTGTCAAGAGAGAATCTAGTGATGGGTCTTAAAAACCAGAATATATGAATATCAGCTGGTAGTCAAATGCCATGATCAAAAATCCTTAATCTCTACCCACACCAAACAGTATTAACTTGATTGAAGTAACACCAGAATCATTGGCCATGCTACCACCAACACATGTATGAGTTCATCAAAGTCTGGCACTCCATAAGCAATCACATCAACAGAAACATTGACCTATAATCAGCCTACAAACCCCTCAGAATTCAAATCAATCACGCAACCAATCAGTGATGGCACCAACTCTCAACCAACCAACACAACCCTCCCTCCAACCAGTACTTCACATCCCAGTGACCAACACGTGGCATAACCTCCCCATCACAAGACCCATTACAAGATCTCACTTGACACACCCACATCTGACCCATCACAACATCTACTGATTAAAGTTTACTGTTTTTCATAAATCTAATTTTTATACTGCATTTAATTCTTCTCAGTTATAGACAGATTCATATCATCTGAAAGAATCATGTTATCTTCTTTCTCTGTGAAAAGATATAGATTTGGATACAGGGATCCTTGCTATTTTCTTAGTGACTCCTCAAAGTTATGAAGAACCTGAAAAAAATATTAATGACTATACTTCAAAGCTCTGGCTATTGCAGTGTCCCCATGGTCATTTGTTCATCAATTGTGACTTCACAAACAAAGTCAATAGGGAAGCTGGCATGAAGTCGCTTTGTGGTCATGTAATGTCCTCAAATCACAAAGGGTGATTTGCTAAATATCACAGTTGGAACAGTTGATTTACAGTGTAAATCAGTGCAGTAATTTATGGCTTAGCAAAAATTCCTGGCTCCAACTATGGATGGTAAGAATCATCCCAGACATCCAAACAAGATAATCAACATTCAGAACTTACTTGGTTGAAAGCACTAGGCCACGTGATGGCTTCCTCATGAATGGTGAACATTTGGTCTTCAGCAGCCCAGGGATCCAGCTTCCCAACTTTCATTCGATGCAAGGATTGGTTGGGGAATGTGACCCAGTTCTCAATATCCAGTCCTGTAACCAGTTCTCCTTTTTCATCAAAGGAAATTTCATCCCCAGCACTGTTGTTAAATGCAATTCTTTTCAAAAAGAAGTGAAGCTGAATATAGAAACATTTGTAAAAAAGAGAAGACAGAGAGAAAGCATGGTTAAGATACAGAATTATGTGACAGATCAAAACAAGGAGAGGGATAATTTGTAATGTTTTGGTGGCCCACCAGATACAATAGCTTATATGGCATTATTGATAAAAATTATTTTACATAGTCTACAACTATTTAATAATAAAAGAAATCTAACACCCACATCCCACCCTACGTCAGTAAATCTAGGAGAATTTAATTCTCAAAAGTATACCTAATTTGGTAGGCAGGTATTATTTATCACATAAAGATGGTAAAGTTTGTATTATTATTTTGCAAGCACCAAATAGAAATATTCTTCCCAGCTATTATTAGAGATATGCAAATGAAGGAAGATTCAGATACAAAATTATAGATCTACAAATAATATAATAGGCACAATTATTGCAGTTGTAATTGTAGTTTACGGCATTCCATGTCTGGATGTCTGAAAAAATCTAACTAGTCACTTGGTGGCAATAGAGAGACACAGAAAAGGCTTTTTGCTGCTATCTAATGGTTGACTGAGTTTTACAACCCTAAAAAAAACAGTACCAAGTATTTTTGGGATATGCCAGAATTGTGAATGAGGTTGAGTCATTGGAACTGGCTGTTTGAAAGAGTTTTTTATGGCTTCCCTTTTCTTGCATGCAAGCAGTTGTTCATATTTTCTCTTCTGATAAGAGAAGATCCAGTTCAGCAAATACATAAGACTGGTAAGTGATAGCAAAAGGTGTTTTTGATGTTAACAAACATCTAGTGCAGGCCTCTCAAACTCATGGCCTGCCCAAAGGGAAAAAAGTCGAGATGCATCACGTGACGATTCCATTACGATGCAAGCATGACACCCTTGATCTAGTACAGGTGTTGGCAACCTGCAGCTCCAGAGCCACATGTGCCTCTCTGGGCCCTCTGCTGTGGCTCCCTGTGCCATCACTGGTTGGCCCAATCCTTCGCCTCTTTTATTTTTTTGGATATTTTTTGAAATTCAGGTTGGCTGAGGAACGATCGCCAGCCTTCTCTTTGGGTGATCCTCCTCCCCCTTCTCCTCTTGTGACCCCCTGATGGGCTGTGGCTGAGCCAGGAGCATGTGAACACATGGGGAGACCTTCCTCAAGCAAACGCCAAAGCGCAGAAAAGGTGCAGGCGGGGCGGACAGCTGCTTGCTTAAGAAGGGTCTCCCAACATTGTGCCCGCTCCCGGCTCAGCCACAGCTTGCCAGGGAGTCACAAGAGGAGGTGAGGTAGGAGGGTCACCAGAGAGTGCAGGAGTTAAGCGGCCCTGTACCTGCCTTCATGCCACATTTGCTCATAAGGCAGCCTTCGCTTCCTGCCACTTCAGGCAGGAGTTTGCACCTGTTGTGGCTCCGTTACCTGAGCAATGCCTTCGGTGTCTGCTGAAGGGCAAGAGATAGGGCTGGGGCCAAGCACATCCACGCAGCCACAGGTGGACAGTGATGAGGGAAATGAGTCTTGGCTGGATCCTCGGCAGCATCGCAGAGATAAACGCGCACAACAGAAGAAAAGGCATGCCAGAGATTAAGCTGAGTCACTGGACCACACCACACAGGGTATAAAAGGGGGTGAGGTGGCCATTCAGACTCTGTGACGGAGTCTCAGAGAGACTCAGAGAGAGAGAGTGACACACACACATACACACATATAGAGAGAGAGGGTAGAGCGAGAGACATAGAGACACACACACAGAGTGATACACAGAGAGAGGGAGAGAGAGACATAGAGACACACACAATAATACACAGAGAGAGGGGGGAGAGGGGGAGAGAGAGAGATACAGAGGGAGACAGAGAGATATGGGGAAGAGAGGAGAGGGAGGAGAGATAGAGAGGGAGGGAGGAGAGATGATAAGATAGGGAGAGGGACAGAGATAAAGAGAAAGGGAGAGAGAGAGAGGAGCAAGATAGGGAGAGGGGGAGAGAGAGACATAGAGAATGGTTTTGTGGCTGGGTAGGCGTGGCTGGACTGGAGTGAGTGACATCGAGTTGGCCACACCCACCCAGGTTTTGTGGCTGCTGGTATGTTTTTTCTTTTTCTGTGGGAAACGGGTCCAAATGGATCTTTGAGTGTTTAAGTTTGCAGTCCCCTGATCTAGTGAAACAATAGCTTGGAATTGAGCAATAATTGCCTGAAAGCACATTATTATTATGGAATACATGCTGGTGGAGCGCTTTCTTGGCTAAGGATGTTATAATTTTTCATGAGTACTGTAGGACATCTGAGGTAGCTCAGTTATCATTTGATTTAGAGGGGAGTCCACTTAGCTTGGCAGAAAATTTTTCCTCAGTATGTGTCTCTTGAATGAAGCATTTTAATGGAGCAGGGTTGATAGGTGATTGATGTCATATTACTAGAATCTTGGCAAAAGAAAGATCTCTAAAGATTATTACACAGTTAATAGCGAGGCACATTTTTGCAATTATTGATTTCTGAGTTTTGCCAATGGGTGAGTAGGAATTCTTTGGCCTCCTGGGCTAAAGGAGATATTTGTGCCATGCATAGAGGATGTGGTCATTAGGATCCAATTCCCCATTGAGGACTCCTCCCAGGTCAACCAATACATTTGCAACTTAAGTTGCTAATTCATCCCACATGCAACTGATTTGGGGTTTCTGCCTCATTGGGACCATTGAAGCATTTATTATCAAAAGGGCATAATAGCTAGATTGGATTTACATAATACAACTTGAATGAGGAGAGGGACATGGGTATGGCTTATAGAATAGTGGAGATTAGGACTCCAGATCATCTTTTGCTCTTCAGTGCTGGTAATGTCCCAACTGCAAATAAACGTGGTCCATTAAGTATCAGTTTTTTAACAGTTTACATTTTCCTAACTAACCTGGTTCAAGGTTAGAAGGGTTGCTTTATGCTGGTCACTTAGATGTCAAGCAGTTGCCTTCCAAACCAGGACTTATAAGGGTAATTTTTGCAGGAGTGGTAGCTTTCCATCAGTTTATGGCTGCAAATGTAATTGTGTTTCTAAGTGGTGGAGAGTAGGGTACCAGGGTGTTAAATGCACCCAAAGGATGCATTTGGAAGTGGAATGGATCAGATATTAGAATAAAGTTTATCAGGTGAATAATGGTGGAAGAGCAGAACTAGACAATTGGTTTCCATAAGAAAATCAAAGGAAATTTTTGATGTATTCACATTAGAGGATCTCCTCTATGCTAATGGGACTGTCAATGTCTCTCTGTATCCACTGGCAAGACTTTCTTAGCTAACTTAGCTAACTGGTTTTGACAGAAGCTATTTTAAGGGTGTTCCTGAAGAATAGGAATCTAAGGAGAAAATTGTGCAGGAAAGGACTTAGAGAAGAAGTAAGGTTGGAAGACTAAGGCAGGAGACACAAGAGAAATTCCTAACTTTCTATTCACAGAACAATGTCACTTCTAATTCAACATTCATATCTCATTTCCCTCATTATTTAACTTATGAGAAAATTACCTGCCATGGCTGTACATCCTGAAGATTAGGTTTCCTGATGCTCAACCTTCTCCTATGTGGTTGTTGACCCACCTGTATGGCATGTAAAGCATGTGCCACAGCATACACTGCATTGTATATGCTGTAACTGGGACTGGTCAGCCTCATTTCAAAAAAAGCCCCAGGAAGGCTCTCCAGTTTCTCTTTCCCGGTGCAGATACCCTCAGTTTCCTGATTCACAAACGGGTCTGGAAATACACAGCCAAATGCATGTTCCCATACATCTTTAATGAAACCATCTTGGGGAAAGAATGAGAAATGGCTTCTTGTCTGAAGAAAATGTTGGAATCCTTCAACCTCATTTGAGTAACCTGCAAAGGACAGCGCACCATGGAGAACTTGTATGTCCCAGCTTTTCTGATAAAAGAATGAAGCAATACTGATTTGGGAAGCCACAATCCATACTGTACCTTTTGGTTTTATAGAAACCATTTCCATTTCAGGTAGATATAACAACCATCTTAAATGTAAAACATATTTATCATTGATTATCACAACATTAGCTTTGCTGTTAGTAAAAAGATGAAATGTCTCCACAAACCATTTCAGACCATCATCCACATTACTGATATAAATTGTCCCAAGTTTTTGTTCTAAGAAAGCAATACAGATACCATGGAGAGAAAACCATGAAAATATCAGTTGTTCAAATTTTGCTCCAACTTCTCCTTTCACAAGAATCCCAACCCAGGTCCACCTGAAATGGACAAGTAGCTGAAGAATTCCTCTATAATTTAAGTCTTCACCTGGAACCATGTGGTAATAGAAGGGGATATCAGTTTTACCATTCATACTTGGAGGAGGGCCATATAGGAACTATAGGAACAAAAAATAGACAGAAAAATGGTTGATAAAACTGATATGCATCTTCTGCAAATAAAAAGTTCTGGATATGCCTTCACATTATTTATGTGTATGAAATATTTGTGAGAATTGGTTTGAGGTAAATGATTGTTGAGTTCCCTTTCATCTGCCCAACTGAATGATTCTCTCCATCCTCTTTCTATTGAACTTGCAGATTACTTCTTTCTCTTCAACAATAAAATGTTCAAGTCCATGTTAATCAAAGAAAGAGTAAAAGAGAGATAGAGCAGTGATTATGGGCAGATGATGTTTAGTATTAGCTAAGGATGCTCACTGTGTAACTTTGGGCACTTCACGGTCTTTCACACTGATAGTTGGAGAGAAATAAAGGAGAAACACTATGTGTAACTCCATGAACATCTGAATACATCTGAGTCTAACAACATAAATAAACACAATTCAGAAACATTACATTTTTTTTTCTGTTCAACACAATAGCAAATTCCTTGAGAGGGAATCCAAAGCTCCTACACAACAGGGAATGATTATTAATGATTAATTTTTGAAATTGACCTATTATACCAAATTCTGAAATTAAATTCACTTTGCTTTATGCTTTGATAAATACATTTTCTTAAATATACTTCATAGTTAAATGTATACTAAATTAAATATATACTAATGTCTTGCAATCTATCCGTCTGAAAATATAAAGCAATATATGGGCAACTTACTATTAATGAATCTTACCTGGGGAACCTTATAAATGCGTAAAATGTCTTCAATAGTAAAAGAATATTCAGGATCAAGAGTTCCAAGAACAGATATGAGATTGTTCAGGATGTCACATTTGTAGTTGGGAATGAATTGGTTCTGACTGGAAAAAAGTTCCATTGTGGCAGGATATGAGTACTCTCCACCATAATATCATATATTCTGAATCCCAAGGTGAGGTTAGGTAAGAGTTGGAGGTCTTCATTGATCTTCTTCACAGCAAATATCAAGCTCAAAATATGCTGATAAAACTTGATCAGAACTCTGCAATGGCAATTAGATGCTGTATCAAATAAATACTCCGTGTGTAAAAAGGACAGTGAAATTGAATTCCATAGGAATAATGTTAATTGATCAATTAGTTACTATTCAGTAGAATCGTTTCTGGGTTTTCATGAGTGTATTTGTTAAACAATTTTGATTATACGATACTGAGCAAAAAACAATACCATTGATTTTGGCTTTGGTTTCTTTTACCTTTTCTTAAGAGAGTATCTAAATCCTGTTCCAGAATCTACAAAAATTATTATTCTTTTAGCAGCAACACATCATCAGGTACAAAATAGATTATATTATATTTTATATCTATAGTAAGTAATTTAATAAGTACTTTAAAATTCCATTATATGCAAAAGCCAGTTTAAGCAAAATCCAAAGTTTTCTCTATCTTAAAAATAATTTTAGCGAAATGATGTATTATCATTATTAGTTTAACTGTAAGAACTTCATATAATGTTGAAATCCGGATTTCTAAAAAATATTACAAAAGCAGAATATGATTTTTAGTAATCAAATTATCCCAATCCATGTATTTCACCTCCCAACTCCAAAAACCTTCAATGCATGGTCAAACGGCAAATTTATTTATTGGTCTTTTATTTACTAGGGAAAACATGCTGCATCTCTGACTTAACAGTATTATTTTAATGGTTAACTATAATTTTGCTTTCTTTGAGACCCAGTTTTAGAAACTGATGTATAATCCACAGAAATATGTGAAATCTGATATCACGAAAGACTAAATAATTACTTTGATCCCTTCCCCTTTCTTCAAGGAACAGAGAGTCTCACTATCAGTTTCCTTTAGAAAGCACAGTGAAAACATATATGGGTTGAAAAGTATTACTTCATTTATATTTTAAAATGTATACATGCAACATTGGGATTAAGTATAACACAGAGAATAAGTGTACAAAAGAATTTCACATACATTGCTATAATAATACAAAGAAAATAATAATAGTAATAATTACAAAAGGCAGCTTTACTCGGAACAACTTGCATTCTGAAGCAATGCTCCAAACACCATCAAACATCTGTCTATCTCGGGTTCTTTGGAACGACTTAATAGACATACAAAATGCCAAATCCAATCTAAACATTTAATTGAATGTGCAACAAGCCACTACCAATAATATTAATGCCTTACACTGGTTCACCAACAGCAGATTTCCTGGGAACCTCCTCAAAGTGTTCTACAATTTTACTTATGAAGATGAATGAAGTAATACCACCAATGATGAGGTCACCTGGTTGAAAATATTTGTGAACAATCGGGACAGTGGCTTGGAATCTGCATGTTATTGTTTGAAGTTTGCAAGGTATATGTGGCAATAATAGGAAAAGAACCAATATCATCATGGGCTACTTTACAAGCTTTCTATAATTTCATGTAAACTTAAGAACTTCCAAGAATAGACAATAAATAAATTTGTCTATTCCTCACATAACTTCCATTAGCTTCTGAACTTTAGAATAAAAATCATTCTGAGAAATCATTCAAATAATGATCTTACTTGCCCCAAACTCTAAATACATTTTTTTCAAAACATATGAAATAATTAAACTGTCTGTCTTTGAGGATTTTAAAAAGCAACAAGGTCAATAATTATCTTTTTGATAATTATAAGGGAGATTGAAGAAAAGTGCCACCTTGAAATTGCCATTACCCTGTAGAATTAAGAATATGCTTCTCTATTCTGAACATAGTATTAGCAATTCCATCCATTAATCAAATAACAGGACTGAAACCAGTGGTGGGTTGCCCCCCCGGTTCACACCGGTTCTATAGAAACGGTAGTAAAACCAGCTGGAAGCTCCACCCACTGAAACTGACGTGTGGGGTCCCATTGCGAACCGGTAGGAAAGGTAAGTAGAACCCACCCCTGACTGAGATGTGACAACAATCCTCAAATTTGCACTATATGTTAGAAGAAAAGTGAGGGACATAAATTACCAATAAATTTGTGATCGATTCTAAAGCCAGGCCCAACTTGTAACTTTCACATTCATTTTAAAATTACTTTTATGTCTTAATGCTGACCAATAGTAGTAGCTGATGTTATTTCATTTCAATATGAGACTTCTCAATGTCTTATGACTATCACTAAGTGTTGTATCATATGATTACCGATCTCTTCCCACTCATAACTATAACCATGTTGCTTGTATTTTTATAATTTAGTGTTGTATCTTATGATTCTTGATGAATGTATTTTTTTCTGTTTTCTCTATATGCACCAAAGACAAATTCCTTGTGTGTCTAATCATACTTGGCCAATAAAGAATCCTATTGTATTCTATATAAGGTATCTCACAGGACTGCCTTAACATCTTAGGGCCATAAGTATCCAACAGAAAGTTCTCTCAATTCAAGAAAGGATGCAATTGACACAAGAGATGGAACACACAACTGCTATCCCAATCACATTTACCACCTGCTCCTTGACCAATACTGTGAATCCAAGAGGACCCCCAGTTTGTGTATCGATCTTGAATTGAGAAATGCAGCCTAACCCAAGATTATGGATTAAAAGTCCTCGGGTGTAGAGGAGAGGGCTGCCCAATGTCCACAATCATGAGTCAAAGCTTTGTTAGCCTTGATTCAGGGTTTGTTCCTGCCCAGTTATAGAGCCTCCAGGCATTGGAACAGGATCTCAACAGTCTCACTTGTCTAGATAGGGTTGAAAAGTGAGGAGAATATAGTATTCGTGCTATGCTATGCCCCTCCTTAAGAATACATTACTGGATTTGTCAGGGTGTTGATTAATCCCATTCTGCTTTTGGGATAATTGCACCTGATTACAAGGGGAGGATCAAGACTTTTCCTTGCAAGTATACTTTAAGAAAAACAAAACCCGAAGATATTTTCTAAGAGAACTCATTTATTTGTTATAAAGAAAATAAACACCTCACTAACTAAGAAAATTAATTGTTACATTTTTGCAAAAGTTCGTGCCGGGTATTTCTCAGCCGGACCTTTCTGGCAAGAGAACAAAGGAAAGTGTGAGAAGCAAGTGAAAGAATGCGGATACACGTAGCTTACTGATAAGAAGTTGGCAAGCTACAGAAAGTCTGACACTCCAGAAATAATGAGCTCAGCTGGTAAATACTAAAACGCAGTGACAGGATTGTCATCCTATCTCCAACCCTCCCATTCTGGGAAGGTTGTTCAGGAGGTGGTCATGCTGCAATTCCAGGATGAATTATCTGTACATCTTTCAATTGGGATTCAGAACTAAATATAGGGCTCTCAGGACTCCCACAGTGCTTTTTATCTGCTCTTAAACATCTACAAGAAGCCATTGGGTGAAATCATCCATCATCATGGAATGAAATATCATCTGTAGGCTGATTATCTTCTATTGTACATTTCTGCCCATGCGTGTTAAGCCTTATCACAACTATCCTTTCTTGGTGTCCAAAGGCAATTGAGATTTGAATGGGGACCAACAGATTAAAACTGAAGCCTAGCAAGACTAAGTAGTCTTAGGTTCAGGCATCCTTGATTCTTGGAGAATTATCATTGGTTGTGAATGGGATTGCACTGCCCAGAGAGACATGGTGGGTAATGAGGGCATGCTCCTTGACTTGTGGCTGCTTGGGGAACAGGTGACAGTTGTTCCCAGAACAGTCTTTGCACAAGTTTGAGTTGTACACCAGTCATGTCCTTTCCTGTCTTGGAAATAGCAGTAGCCCATAATCTTTCCAACATGCTCTAAGAGGCTTATAAAGTTAACATATTGCAACCAACAATCTGGGCCTCATTATACTGACCTCAGGATGATGTAAAGCTGAGTCAACCTTGATCTGGTCAAGATCAAACTCTTGGCAGTGGGTAGAGTTAGCCTGTAATATTGCATTCTAACCAATGCACCACCGCTGCTCAGTCTCTACCATTGCTTTTTTATACTAGAAAAGAATGCAGGCCCAGACATTTTCAACCTTTCCCATTATACAATAAGAATAAATCAGTTTTTTTTAAAAAAATAATAACTAGAATATTTTTTTTCTCAAATTCCAGATTGCAACCGTAACCTCTCTTAATAGGTCACTTTGTCCATTTTAATAAATCAAGATTAATTTTACAAGGCTTTGCTCCTGAACAGAAAACTCACCAAATCATTTCTAATTAAAATTAAATTTGGGATTAGAAGGGTACTATGTTTATTGAATACAATGACAGTTCATTTCAGTTCAAATTGGTGATGACTTATCCATCATTCATAGAATAACTGGTGAATACTTCAGATATGCTTCTTAGTATTGACGTTCTTGATGTGAAACCTGTCAGAGTTGGTATTAGATGTTATTCCAGTTATTCCACTTATTTCTTTTTTAAAAATCCATCATTCAAAAAAAATGATGCAGAGCCAGGCATTTTTATACTTTCCTATGGAAATATTTGTAAAGTTTGTTAGCTTGTGTTTCGCTTTGTGTGTGTGTTTTCAAATTAAATCTTAATTATTTCAATAGCATGAATCAAATCAATAGGTCCTCAAATTCCAATTTGCAAACTTAAAAAGAATCATGGCCTCTTAATATCTCAGATTTTTAGTTAAATGAGTGATAATTTGACTGGCTTTTACTCCTACACTGAAAACTCACCCAAACATTTCCATCTCTTCAAATTCAGTGATGAATTTACTAGAGCTTTAAACAAATGCTTCTAAAATAGAGAAATGATTATAGGAGAATTTGGTTTATATTTTATGAACTTTTTCTCTTAATGAGTTGCTCCTTATTGTTAAGATGTGGCAAAACGATGATAATTATAACATTTGGGGAAATATATGCAGACAAGCAACCCTGCACTAGAGGTCAAAATGGAGAAAACTCCACAGCCACCATGTATTTGGCTTTGGTGCTCAGGTAAGATGGAACAAAAGAGATCCAAACACTGCAGAAGATCAGCATGCTGAATGTGAGACATTTGGCCTCATTGAAACTGCTGGGGAGATTCCTGGAGAAATACGCTACTGTAAAACTGGCAGCTGCCAGAAAGCCCATGTAGCCCAGGACACAGTAGAACATGGTTGATGAGCCTTCACTGCATTGCAATATGATTTCTTCCCTTTCTGAATGTGTGTCAATGTCAGGAAAAGGAGGAAATGTGATGAGCCACACTGTACAGATGCCTGTCTGAATCAGGGAACAAGTAAGAACAATGGAGATGGCCAGACCTCTTCCCACCCAGTTCCTCATCCTGGATCCTGGCTTGGTGGCCATGAAAGCCAGAACCACAGTGATGGTTTTTGCCAGCACAGAAGACACGGCCACTGAGAAGATGATGCCAAAGCTAATTTGTCTGAAGAGACATATTATGTTGCCTGGTACAATGAGGAACTGCAGTGAGCAAAGGAAACAGAGGAGAAGGGAGATAAGTAGAACATAGGTGAGATTTCGGTTATTGGCCTTAACGATGGGAGTTTGGTGATGTTTCAAAAATGTTGCTAGAACCAGAACTGTGCAGGCAGAGAAGAAAAGTGCCAGAATCAGTAGACATATTCCCATTGGTTCCTCAAAGGATAAGAATGAAATTCTCTTGGGAAGACATGAATCGTGGTTCTTATTTGGATATTGACCATCTGGACATTTGGAACAGTCATCCATGTCTGGAATTTAAATATACATGTATTATATATAAACATACATGCATTTGTGTATATATTGAAAATACTGCTTATGCTTTGTGATTATTCTATGAATATTATTATGGAATATTAACTTGTCTTTCTTAACAGCAAAAATGGCACTGACATTATCCATCTGACTTACCAGTCTTATCTTTGGATTTTAACAAGGCAATTATCTCCAAAGAATTCTACTTAATATTTCTAATATTATTACTACCTGTTATCTATTGTATGTATTAGCTATATATTTATCTGGTTACACAATTGCATCTTGTCTTTATGGGAAGCAACCTGCTACAATATCTTTTTAACAGTATTGACTCAGCCTTCCATCCTTCCAAGGTGGGTAAAATGAGGATACAGATTGTTGGGAGCAAGAGGCTGACACTGTAAGCTGCTTAGACAGGGCTGTAAAGCTCTGTGAAATGTTATATAAGTCTACGTGCTTATTGATTATTATTGTGAATAATATAAATAAAAATAAACATAACAGGAATGTGTTTCGATCACTTCATCCATACTGAATTTTCTTTATTTTGTAGATTCCTGTGGGATAAAATGTGTGTTCATATCCATAAATGCAAGTAACATTCAAGGAAAAGAGCTAAGGATTTGCCCCTTTTCCATATATTTTCAAAACATTCATGTGGCAAAATTTTATGGGAGAATAAATAATACAAGTTACAGAGATGACAAAATATTCCCACTGTAAGGGAAATTGGGAGTTTCAATATTATTTTAATCACTCAGTTAATCGTTTGCTTCTTTTTCTTTGTTTGTTAAACAAGAGCCATAGTTGAATGCTTAACTCTTTGCCTTAAGTCTTCCGTTTAGTTGGTAAAAGAATCCTTCCTTCTGAGGACAGCATAATTTCTCAACAAACAAAATATATAACTCAGCTTTCTGTAGAGCTGTAATGCAATTTGGTTCATGATGCCTCTTACCCTTCTGGCTTGATATTTTCTCTTTGGGACATGGATGACAATCATAGCAGCAAAATGGCTTTGCCTCCTGCTTTCTTTTGAAATTACCAGGGGAGCAGCTCTCAGTACACACGGAAATAGGCAGTGTCTACCCAATAAGTAAAATAAGAAGGGAAATATTAGTGTCCACTCTCATGTTTAAAAAGAAGATTTTAAAAAATTTAAACCAAGGAAATGGAAGGCAGGAGAGAAGTTTGTCTTGCCCCCCATCAACCATCTCCAGCAGTGACAACTCTTCTTTTTTTTGTTTCCAAAAAGTTTTTAGTTTTATTTCTCATAAACATAATTAAATGTACAGTCTTTTATCCACCATTTTCCATTCATCTTGTCTTTTAACTTTCATTTTTAGTTGTTCGAGGCTACTCTTTTACCATTTACTCTCCTTTATTTTACCACAACCTTTCCTCTTCTTCTTCCCTTCTCTTCCTCCTTCCATCTCTTCCTACTTTCTTCATTCCTCCTCGCCTTCCTTTTCCTACTTCACCTTCCCTTCCTTTCTCTCCTCTCTTCTTCCTCCCTTTCTAAGCTTCTCTCCTACTCCTCTTTCCCCTCCCTTTTCTTCCTCTCCTTTTCCCTCTCTTCTTTTTCTCCCTCTCCTCTCCTTTCCTCTCTTCTCCCCTCCTCTCTCTCTACTCTTCCTTTCCCTCTCTCTTGTTGTTTCCCTTTTCAGTTCAATCTAGAATGGTAATGGAACAGCCCTGATTTTCTATTTATGTTCATCTTCATTTCAATTTCTTATTTATTTAATAATTACATCTATTTCATCATTTATGTACACTTTTATAATAATAATACTTTTTTCCTTTTCCCTTTCTCCCTTTTTCTTTTACCTAGGCATCATCTGAGTTTCTATTCTTCTTATTATTTTTCCTCTTATTCACTTTTCCCTATCCATTTTATTTCCATATCTTTATTCATATTTTTTTAACCAGTCATAAAAATTTCTCCATGTCTTGAAATACGTTGACTCCTCTTTATCTTTTATTCTCAATGTTCATTTCTGCACATTCTAAAATTTTCTATATAATTTCTCCTTCCAACGGGATTTTGTCTGCTTTCCAATTCTGTGCAAATACAATTCTAGCTGCTGTTATATCTTCTTTACCATATTTCTCTGGTAATATTCCCAATAAAAATATCTCTGGTCTTAACGCTATATGTTGCTGCAGCATTCCCTCTAACCATGTCTGTATTTTAACCCAATAGTACTTTGCTTCTTTACACGACCACCACATATGAAAATATGATCCCGGCAATTGGTGACATTTCCAACATTTTGCTGGTTTATCTTTAAACATTTTAGCTAATCTTTCTTGTGGCATATGCTATCTATAAAACATCTATACAAATTTTCTTTATAGGCTATTTCCATTGTTAATTTATAATTTCTTTCCCACACTTGTTGCCATTTCTCTAGTTCAATAGTATATCCAAAATTCTTTGCCCATACTATCATTGTTTCTTTTACTTCTTCATCTTCTAATCTAATCCACAATAAATAATTATATAATTTCTTAATCATTTTTTCATCTGTTCCTGTCAGTATCTCATCCAATTCTGATTTCCCCAAGTTAAAACCATATTGCCTACGATCTGCTTCAAATCTTGACTGTATTTGCAATCTTGTATACCAATCTGTCTCAGTCTCTTGACTCTAATTTTTGCTTTTGTTTCAGTTCTTCCTGTTCTGTTAATATATCCTTATATTTAGTAATATTCCCCATATTAACAATATATGGATGTGTCAGAGCTTCTATTGTGGAAAGCCACACTGGAATTTTCAAATAATGTTTTTCTTTCATTTTTCCCCACACTGGTAACAAACCATTTCTTACATAATGTCTTTGAAAATATACTTGTATCCTTTGTTTCCCATAACATGGGAAATCATGCCAACCTAGTTGTATATCCAGCGTCAATAGTACCTCCAGCATCAATAATCCCTCCAACGTCAATAGTCCTGTATTTCTCAACAAAATCCATTCTTTAATCCACGTTAATGCTGCTGCTCGGTAATACAGTTCCCAATCCCACCTCTAGTTTTGCATCTTGCAGTATTTTATATTAATTCTTGCTCTTTTTTCTTGCGATACATATTTCCATGTTATTCTCTTCAAATCTTCAAAGTACTTTTTCTCCAATTTTATTGGTATCGTTTGAAATAAAAATAACAATTTTGGTAATATGTTCAACTTTATTAATGCTATTCTTCCCATTAGTGATAGTTGCAGATATCCATTTCTCCAGATCTGTTTCAATTTGTTTTTTCAGTTTATAATAGTTATCTTCCTTGAGAGTTACACATCCTGATGTCAGATGAATGCCCAAATATTTCACTTTCTTCACCATTTGAATCTCCATTCAAATGGAGATTTCTCCATTATCTCCTGTTTTTGATTTTCCCTCAAATTTTTAACTAATATTTTTGTCTTGTCCTTATTAATTTCCAACCATGCTACTTTTCCATATTCTTCTATTTGTCCCAGCAGCTTTGGCACTGTCTCTATTGCATCCTCCATAATAAACACCAAATTATCCATGAATGCTTGCAGTTTATATTCTTCTTTTTAAATTTTCATTCCTTTTATATCAGCTCACTTTTCTATTTAAAGTCTCTAATGTCAGTATAAATAGTAGCAGAGATAAAGGTATCCTTGTCTTGTTCCTTTTCTAATATCCACTTTTCTTGTCATTTCACTATTGACCATCCCCTTTGCTGATTGATCTTTATATATAGTTTTGATCATACTTGATCAAACTTGTATTTGATATCATATTTGATCATACATCTATCCCCAAAATCCATCATTTTTAACTGTGCTGTCATAAATTGTCAATTCACATTATCAAAAGCTTTCTATGCATCTAAAAACATTATCTAAATGTTTTTCATAATATTCTAATGTATTTAATATAATTTGCATATTGTCTCTAATTTGTATTTTTGGTAAGAAGCCATTTTGATCCAGATGTATAAACTCATTTAAAAGTTTGTTTAATCTTTCAATTGATGCAAACATTTTATAATCTGCATTTAATAAGGATATTGGTCTATAATTCTTAACTTGTTGCAGATCTGCCTCTATCTTTTCCTCTGCGACAAGACAGTCTCAACAAGACTGTCTCTTGTTGATACAGTCCATTATAATATTTCTCAATTATCTTCTTCTTTACCTCATTTCTGTAATATACCTTTCTATCTTGATCTATTAATTGACTTATTAATTTATTTTCTTTCTTTTTTTCATTTTGTATGCTAACCATCGTCCTGTTTATTTGCATTTTCAAAGAAATTTTGCTTTGTAGTTTTTATTTTGTTCACCAACTCTTCTTCATTTTCTATTAGGACTATGTGGCTTACAAAGAGTAAAAGACAAATATAAAATCACTTTAAATTTTTAAAATTATATCTACGTCAAAACCAAGGAAATGGAAGGCAGGAGAGAAGTTTGTCTTCCCCCATCAACCATCTCCAGTAGTGAGCACTCTTCTTGGGGCCCCAGGACAACCAGCAGAACCAAGTTCTGATATTCATCCTGAAGGCCAAAACAATGGGATTAGTTCCTACCTTTGGTAGTAGAGCATTTTCACATTGTCATGGCTCTAAATGAAAAAAGCTCTTCTCCTTCATCCTATCTATCAAATTTCCTAGCAGATAGGACCCACAGCAGTCCCCTTCTGCTGGAATAAGTGGGGAGGGTTAGTTCCACTGCTCCTCAGATATCTTGGAACCATGCTACTTAAGGCTTTAAAGGTAATAGCACCTTTTATTGGACCAAGAAGCAAACTGGTAACCAATGCAACTTGCAGAACAGTGGTATTATGTGTACCACCCTAGGAGCCTCCAAAACTGTGTGGATCACTGCATTTTGTACCAACCTAAATTCGAAGTACTCTTCAAGAGCTATATAGAGCACATTGCAGTAATCCAAATGAGATATGATCATGGCAAGAGTGAAAATGCACAGGGACCTCACAATTCATATAACTATATAAAGGTGCAACTAATGCACAACAAGAAGTTACACAAAGGCCCTACTAACCATGATTTCCACCTGCTCTTTGAACATCAAGTTTGTGCACCAGGTGAATTTAAGGTTGTGCAACATCATCCATAACTAAAGATGATAAACAACAGGATCTGGAGATCTCCTCAATCCAGAGCTACTTCATTATTTTATTATTATTTATTGGACTTATATGCCGCCCTCTCTCCAAAGGACTCAGGGCGGCTCACATCAGTGAAACAATCCCAATAAATACACATTAAAACAGACTAAAACAGACTAAAACCAATTTAAACCAATTTAAAACAGTAGACCCCATCAGTCCAGGCTAGGGTGTTTAAACAGCAAAGTCTTAAGCTTGCGGTGGAAGGTACGAAGGTCCAGGGCCAATCGAAGACCCAAGGGAAGTTGATTCCAGAGGGTGGGCATGCCCACAGAAAAGACTCTACCCCTGGGGGTCTCCAGCCGACATTGTCTAGTCGATGGCACCCTGAGTAGGCCCTCTCTGTGAGAACACACCGGGCGATGGGAGGTTGATGCTGGTTACAGGTGGTCTGAGAGATATCCTGGGCCTAAGCCATGAAGGACTTTATAGGTCAACACCAGCACCTTGAATCTCACCCGGAGGGCAACCGGCAACCAATGCAAGTCGTGCAAGAGAGATGTAACATGGGAGTATCGGGATCCTGGAATCACAACCTGCGCGGTCGCATTCTGCACCAGCTGAAGCCTCCAAGTGGTATTCACAGGCAGCCCCAGGTAGAGACCATTGCAGAAGTCAATCCGGGAGGTGACTAGCGCATGAGTGACTGTGCGTAGGGCATTGCAGTCCAAGTATGGGCACAATTGGCGCACCAGGTGAACCTGGGCAAACGCCCCCCTGTCACAGCTGTTATATGTTCCTCTAAGCCCAGCCGTGAATCCAGGAGGACACCCAAGTTGCGCACCCTGTCTACAGTGGGCAACACCTCACCACATATAGTCAGAGATGAAACCTCTTGTTTGGTCTGCGATGCCGGTATCCACAGCCACTCGGTCTTGGCCGGGTTGAGCCGAAGCCTGTTCCTCCCCATCCAGATCCATACCGCTTTCAAGCACTGGGACATCATGTCGAGGGCATCGCTGGGCTGGTGTGGGGTGGATACAAAAAGCTAGGTAACATCAGCGTACTGATGATACATCACCCCAAAACCAGGGATGATCTCTCCCAGTGGCTTCATGTAAATGTTGAACAGAAGAGGCAAGAGGACCGACCCCTGAGGCACCTCACATGAGAGACCTCTGCCCCCCTCACCAACACCACTTGCATATGACCCGAGAGGTAGGAGGCGAACCACTGTAAAACAGTACCTCCCACTCCCAACCCGTTGAGGCGTCGCAGAAAGATACCATGGTCGATGGTATCGAAGGCCGCCAAAAGATCTAATAGGACCAGAACAGAGGAATAACCTCTGTCCCGAGCCCTCCAGAGATCATCCACCAGCACGACCAATGCCGTCTCCATGCTGTATTCATCTTATCAGAATTCAGCTGAAGACCTATCCAGACCTCTACAGTCTACAAGCCTTCCTAAAGGCAACCATTACATTATTTAGATCACCAGAAATCTAAAGCTGAGTATCATCTATGATATCTCATCCTTGATGCCAGATGATCTCATCCAGTGATTGTTGAAGATGTTTAAAAGGACTGGAAAAAGTACTGAGCCTTATGCCACCTCTCAAATGAGTAGTTGTAGACTGGACCTCTCACTCCATATTAACGCTGGCTACAAATGGCCTTGGAGAAAGAAGCCAAACCAGTAAAGTACTGCATCACTAAGTGCCAAATCCTGCAGTCCAAAAGGATACTATAGTCAGCATACAGAAACCCACTGAGAGGTCAAGGGGAGAAAGGTGTAAATCCTGAAGTTGACCTGTCTTCATCTTTGTGACTTCAGGGTTGCCACAAGACAGAAGAGAGGATAGGGAGAGGGGAATAGTTAACTGGAGCTTTGCAGTCAAAACAAAAAGTTTTCCTGTGGGAACCAAGGTCATTCCAACAGGTGGCCGAGAAAGGAGGAGTGAAGTAATCAAGCAATCGGCCAGCACCTTTATTAGACAATGTGACTGATGACTTGTGAAAAGTCATTTTTTTTTCATCTGGTGAAAACCATGGGAACTTTCAGAGTCAGTTTTTCACAGTTGTGCCAAAATAATGTGTCCAATAAATTGTTCTTTGAGGAATCTACCTTCCTCAGAATTCTATTTTTCAATGGGTGCATTACTTGGGGCACTGATACAAGGATGGATGCACTATTCTTATCCCACTCTTATCAAAGATTATCCACAAGCATGACCAATGCTGTTACATGAAATCAAGCCTGAAACCCTCAACCAACCCACACAACCCTCCCCAACCAGCACTTCACCTCCCAGTGACCAATACCTGACATGACCTTCCCATCACAAGACCCATGACAAGATCTTCACTTGACACACCCATCTCTGACCCATCACAAGATCTACTGACCATTAAAATGTACTTTTTTTCATAAATCTAATTTTTATATTGCCTTTAATTCTTCCCAGTTATAGACAGATTCATATCAACAGAAAGAATCAGTTTTTTATCTTCTTTCTCTCTTAAAAGATAAAGAGGTGTCATTGGGATACAGGGGTCCTTACTATTTTTTCAGTGACTGCTCAAAGTTACAAAGATCCTGAAAAAATATTAATGACTGGTCTTCAAAGCTCTGGCTATTGTAGTGTCCCCATGGTCACGTGGTCACCAACTGTGACTTCACAACTGGCTTCTGAGAAGCAAAGTCAATAGGGAAGCTGCATGAAGTTGCATTGTGGTCATGCAATGTCCCCCTTGATGACAATGGGTGATTTGCTAATGATCACAGTTGGAAATGATAGTGTAAATCATTGTAGTAATTTTATGACTTAGCAACAAAGTTGCTGGCTCCAATTATGGATGGTAAGAAAGTATCATCCTAGACAACCAAACAAAATAATCAACATTCAGAACTTACTTGGTTGAAAGCGCTAGGCCACGTGATGACTTTCTCATGAATGGTGAACATTTGGTCTTCAGCAGCCCAGGGATCCAGCTTCCCAACTTTCATTCGATGCAAGGATTGGTTGGGGAATGTGACCCAGTTCTCAATATCCAGTCCTGTAACCAGCTCTCCTTTTTCATCAAAGAAAATTTCATCCCCAGCACTGTTGTTAAATGCAATGCTTTTCAAAAAGAAATGAAGCTGAATATAGAAACAAGTGAACATATTTGTGAAAAAGAGAAGACAGAGAGAAAGCATGGTTAAAATATATAATTATGTGACAGATGAAAACAATGAAAGGGATTATGTGCAATGTTCTGATGGTCCACAAGATACATTTGCTTACATGGCATTATTGATAAAAAAAATATTTTACCATAGTCTACAACTAAAAAGCATACTAAAAAGCAGAGATATCACCCTGTCAATAAAAAGTGGACCATAAGAAAGGCTAAGTATATATATAATAATAAATAAATAATAAATAAATAAATAAATAAATAAATAAATAAATAAATAAATAAATAAAATAAGTGCCAAAGAATTGAGGCCTTTGAACTTGGGTGCTGGAGAAGACTCCTGCGAGTCCCTTTGGCTGAAATGTGATCAAACCGGTCAGTCCTAGAGGAGATCAACTGTGACTGCTCCTTAGAAGGCCAGATCCTGAGATGAAACTCAAATACTTTGGCGACCTAATAAGAAAGAACGACTCACTGGAGAAGAGCCTAAAGCTGGGAAAGATTTAGGGCAAAAGAAGACAGTGACGAAAGAGAATGAGGTGGCTGGACGGAGTCATTGAATCAGTAGGTGTGAGCTTAAATGGGCTCCAGAGGATGGTAGGGGGTAGGAAGTCCTGGAGGAACATTGTCCATAGGGTTGCAATGGGTCGGACATGACTTCACAACTAACAAAAACAACTATTTAATAATAAAAGAAATCTAACAGCCACATCTCACCATACTCCAATACATCTAGAAGAATTTAATTCTCAAAAATATATCTAATTGGGTAGGCAGGTATTATTTATCACATAAAGATGGTAAAGTTTGTACTATTATTTTGCAAGCACTAAAAAGAAATTCTGCCCAGCTATTATTAGAGATATGCAAATGAGGGAAGATTCATATACAAAATTATAGATCTACAAATAATATAATAGGCACAATTATTGCAACTGTAATTGTAGCTTGCTGTATTCCATATCTGGATTTCTTAAAATTGCAAACCAGAGACACAGAAAGGCTTTTTGCTTAAGGAAAATAACTATAATAAGCTCAAACAACAGATAGTGACAGACTTGGCAAAATGGGAGAATTTGCAACTATCATTGATAGGGAGGATATCAACTATTAAAGTGAATATACTGCCTAGACTTTTATATTTATTCCAAACAATTCCAATTAAGTTGGGAAAAGGATACTTTCAATATTTAAATAAAATTGTGTTAATAAATATATGGCAGGGCAAAAAGGCAAGGATAAAACTTAAACTGTTACAGATGCTAGAGCAAGAAGAGGTTTTGGTCTGCCGGATTAGGAACTATATTACTTAGCTTGTAATTTGATGTGGATCAAAGAATGGATAACGTTAAGAAATGGTAGATTGTTGACCTTGGAAGGGCATGATTAGTTGTTGGGCTGGCATGCTTTTATGTGGTACAAAGGCACAAAAACACAGGGTTATTTTAGAAGACATATGATATGAGAATCTTTGTTATTGAACTGGGAGAAGATTAAAAAATGTCACTATTTGAAAATTCCAGTCTGGCTATCCCCTTTTGAAGCACTCTCACACTCAATAACATTTAGAAAGCAACAAATTGTTAGATATGGTGAAATATTGAATGAAAAGGGTGAACTTAAATCGAAACAAGAATTAGAAGAACAAGAGATTGAAATGGATTGGTTTTCATATATGCAAATACAGTCTAGATACAATGAAGATTCCAAAACAGAGGGCTTTTATAGTAATATGATGAATTTAGATAAAATTTTAATAGGTTCTGATGACTATATAATTAAAAAACTGTATGGTTATTTATTAGATGTAAAAATGGAAGAAGAACAAGTTAAGGAAATAATGATTGCATGGGGGAAAAATTTTGGTCATGGGATTGATCTAGAGAAATGGGAAAAACTGTGGTTGCAGAACTATAAAATGACAATGTCAACAGCATATAAAGAGAATTTGTATAAAATGTTTTACAGGTGCCATCTACCCCTGGCACAGATAGCTAGAATGTTCAAGAACAAATTGGAGAAGTGTTGGAAGTGTCATCAGATTCCAAGTTCATATTACCATATGTGGTGGACATGTGCAGAAGCTAAAAGATATTGGACTAAAATCCACACATGGCTGGAAAAAATGATAAAGAAACATATTGACTTTAAGAGATATTTTTTATTAGGGATTGTACCAGAGACATATAATAGAGAACTGAAATACTTAATTGTGAATGTTTTAACAGCAGCTAGAATTATATTTGCCAAAAAGTGGAAAGGAGAGAAGATACCTACTGATGATGATCTTATTAAGAAAATTTTGGAATGTGCTGAAATGAACAAATTGACATTTGAAATTAGAGAACAGGAAGATGAACATTATTATTTGATATGGGATTTATTTTATTACTGGCTAGACAACAAAGCATGGAAATGAAATATTTTGTTTTTCTCTTTGTCTTCTTTATGGGAGATAAGTTATTGTTAAATAATTGTTAAATAAGAATAATAATGTAATAAATTGTCAAATAAGAAAATGTTGGATAAGGGATTAAGCACAAAAGATTTGTAACCGATCAATACACTTTCTATAATTGTAATGGGTGATATGTTTTATGTTTTAAGTTTTGTTTTAAAATAAAAAAAAAATTCTAAAAAAAAAAAAGAAAGGCTTTTTGCTACTATCTAGTAGTTGACTGAGTTTTTACAAATATAGCAACCCTAAAAGAAAAACAGCACCAAGTATTTTTGCGATATGCCAGAATTGTGCATAAGGTTGAGTCATTGGAACTGGCTTTTTGAAAGTGTTTTTTATGGCTTCCCTTTTCTTGTATGCAAGCAGTTGTTGATATTTTCTCTTCTGGTGGAGAAGATCCAGTGCACCTAATACTTAAAACTGGTAAGTGGTGGCAAAAGGAGTTTTTCATGTTAACAAATATCTAGTGCACGGCTGTCAAACTCATGGCCCACCCAAAGGGGGAAAAGTCACAATACATCATGTGACGACGCTGTGATGATGCAAGTTTGACACCCCTGATCTAGTGAAACCATAGCTTTGGATTGTGCAATAGTTGCTTGAAAGCACATTATTATTATGGAATACATGCTGGTGGAGCGCTTTCTTGGCTAAGGATGTTATAATTTTTCATGAGTACTGTAGGAGATCTGAGGTAGCTCAGTTATCATTTGATTTAGATGGGAGTCCACTTGGTTTGGCAGAAAATTTTTCCTCAGTATGTGTGTCTTGAATGAAGCATTTTAATGGAACAGGATTGATAGGTGATTGATGTCATATTACTAGAAATTTGGCAAAAGGAAGAAGATCTCTAAAGATTATTACCTAGTTAATAGCCAGGCACATTTCTGCAATTATTGTTTTTTGAGTGTTGACAATGGGTGAGTAGGAATTCTTTGGCCTCAGGGCTGGGAAGGAGATATTTGTGCCATGCATCGAGGTTATGGTCATTAGGATCCAATCCCCCATTGAGGACTCCTCCCAGGCCAACCTGTACATTTGCAACTTAAGTTACCAACTAAATAAATAAATAACTTTATTGTTTATACACAGTATACCCCAAACACACTCCCACCCACCACAATTC